GACGATGACGGACGACGGCGGACAATCACTCATATGATAAGCTCCGCTCGACAAAGTCGACAGCGGAGCTAAAAATATGAAAAAAATGATGTGGTAATAATAACTAAATTTCACATTTAGTGAGAGTTAACTAAACTCCAAGCCTAGAAAGTTGTTTCTGTTTAAATAAATAAATGCAAAGTAATTCTAGACATAAAATAGAAAATAAAAGTGAATCGTACTTGTCCTCCTCCTCATCAGACACATCAGGAGCAAATGCTTTGTAGCCTTTGTCTTTTTTATGCTTGTCTTTTGGCTTCTTAACTTTCAAGAAATCACGTTCCTCGTCAGAATCTAAAATAAACACAGTGAGGAGATATTATACATGCTGAATCAATGGTTCTTCCCTGTAAGTTTATACCTTCTAATGACGCAGGATAGACGAGTAAAAGCAATTAAATCTAAATATAGATTTTAAAGTCATTTATCATTTAAATTATTCCATACTGTGAAATATTTTATTTTTGCTTGGAATTAATTTTTGCTATTTTCGCTAAAGGAATGATTCAGTAAATATAAAATCCAGCAAATATACCTTTTTTTTTTCTATATTTTACATTCAACTTGTCAAAATTCAGTGAAAAAAAATTCCATACAAAACGCCTGAAAAGTCTTTTCAGAGAAAATTAATTCCAGCTACAATAAAGTATTGAAAGATGACCAGAGATCTATCTAAACAATATAGACACTGTAATCAGGGTGAGTCTCATTCACCCAATCATGCCACATATTATTAAATGCCTTGTTGCTAGAGGATGAACTTAAAAGTACAATGTATTTCAAGGGAAAATGATGGTAAACAATTTGACAGAATGGAAGTTGGAAGTAGACCATTAAAAACTTGGGGTAGATTTGAAAAAAAAAAACAATCTGCAGATTTTCTATTCTATCTCCCCTTGTAGTGTTTCAAATGGCCAACCCCTAAATTCCCTGAATTCAAATTTGTCAGAATGCACAATTAGATTTCACTTTTCCTTTCCAAGAAAGGACAGCATGGCCAGGCCTATTTCCATGGAAACAGTTTTATTTTTCCCAATAGTATCAAACTGAAAATTGTGATGGAGAAACTAACTTGAAATCAAGAAAATATTTTAATACTGGTATTTTTAAATAATTCTGATATGA